ACATAAATGAGGCACTTAGGGCGGAGGATAAAAAGATTGACTCCGCATTGCGTAGTTCCCATCTGGCATCAGCCTGGGCAACAAGGGCGGCAACGTCCATGGCCTTCTTCGCTAGGGCTTCAGCCCTTGGGTTACATGAGCTCCAGGACAGGATCCCTCCAGACCAGCTCAGAGCTCACCAAAATCTGGGTAAGTTAGTGGCTACATCCCAGTACCTAGCCGACGCTTCTCTGCACATGGCTAGATACACTGCCAGACCATCGCTGCAGACATCTCAGTACGAAGGTTCCTTTGGCCCAGGAATTGGCGAGCAGACACCAAGACCAAGTGGCGTCTGGCCTCTAAACCTTACACAGGTGGACATCTCTTTGGTAAGGCACTAGGACCATACTTAACTGAAGGTAAGGACAAACGTAAAACTCTGGTTAACTCATGTCACAGAGCAGTTACAGGAGGCTGCCTTTCGACCAGCTCCATCCTGGGACTGGGCCCAGGCATCCCTCTATTCCTTTCAGAGACAAGAACGACAGCAGGATCGTTCAGCATGCAGAAGCAGACCACAGATCCAGGCCAAGCGGCCCCTTCAAGACCGAGGGGCCGTTCCTCTGAACGAGGCAAGTGACCTCACAGTCTCACTTCCCATAGGAAGCCAGCTGGCCCCTTATTCCAGCACTTGGGCAGTCACCACTACAAATGCCGGCTGGTCCCTTATTCCAGCACTTGGACAGCCATCACTACAGATGCATGGGTGTTAGACACTGTCAACAGGGTTTGAGACTAGAAATTGTTCTCAACCACCTGACAATTCCGCTCTTGCCCTATCCCAACGAGCAGGTCCAGGGCTGACTTTATGTCAGATGCCATAGCTCATTTATTACAAATACGAGCAATTGAACCAGTACACAAGACCAAGAAGGACGAAGGTTTTACTCAAACCTCATCGTCATCCCTAAGACTTGGGGGGCTGGAGGGCAATCTTAGACTTGAAAGGTCTAAATCTTACTTGAGGTATAAGAAGTTTAAGATGCAACCACTTCAATCAATCCTGGCCAGCATCAGGCAAGGTGACTTTCTTACCTCAATAGACCTAACTGAGACATGTTTCCTAACCACCGCAAATTCCTCAGATTCAGCTATGCCCATTACCAGTACAGAGCCCTACCATTTGGCCTCTCATCGACACCGAAGGTATTTACAAGGTACTGGCAGTGCTCGCAGCCCACCTTAGACAAATTCCAATCAGAATTCAATGCTATTTAGATGACATACTAATTCAGTCATCATCATTCCGAAACGCTCAGTCAGACCTCGCCCTAGCCATCAAGGTCTTTCAGGAGCACGGGTTTTCTGTTAATTTCCAGAAAAGTCATACAACAACCTGGCTCCTCCATTTGGGCGCTGTTATAGACACGGACAATTGTACGGTCTACCTATCTCAGGACCGAAGGAACTCTATTCAGACTCTTGTATGTCGGATCCTAAGGGCCAGAGTAATCACATTGGCCTCCGTATCACAGCTACTGGGGAAGACGGTGTCCTGCGTGCAAATTGTGCCATGGGCATACCTCCATGCCAGAGAATTACATGGCTTCTCCTTCCATTTCAGAGACTTGAACTCCCTTCAATGGTGGGACTCCCCGGCGCTGTCACGGGGAGCAGTATTAGAACCAGACAGGATTACCATTACCACAGATGCAAGCCTGTTTGGGTGGGGGCACACCTTCACACGCACTGGGCTCAAGGTCGGTGGTCCAAACAGGACCTAAAGAACAATATAAACTGGCTGGAACTCAGAGCCATACATATGGCCCTAAAGAGATTCACCGATATAGTACAGGGCCAACATGTCCTGATTTTAACCGACAACATTACAGCCAAGGCCCATGTCAACAGACAAGGGGGGACAAGGTCCAGGCCTCTCATGCAGGAGGCCAAATTGCTGGGGTCCTGGGCGGAACTGAATCTTCCCTCCATCAGGGCGGAGTACATATCCGGAGTGACCAACCAGCAGGCGGACTCACTGAGCAGAGCAACCGTGGATCATTCTGAATGGCAGCTGGATCCGAAGGTGTTCAGAGAGATCGTGGACAGGTTTGGTTCCCCAACCTTAGACCTTTTGCCTCCCCCACCAACTCACAACTTCCCAGATTCCTTTCTGGGTTCCCACCTCCATCAGCAGAGGGAACAGATGCACTCCGCAGTCCCTGGCCCAGGGAACTGCTCTGTGCCTTCCCTCCTCTGCCGTTTCTTCCTGCCACGATCAGGAAGATCCTTCGCGAACGAGCAGAGGTCCTCCTGGTTGCGCCGCATTGGCCGAGACGCTCTTGGTCGCCGACCTGATGGAGCTCTCCGTATCACCTCCATGGAGGATCCCAGCAAATCGCATCTCCCACATTCAGGGGGAACTACGCCATCCAGACCCTCAATGACTCCAGTTAACCGTCTGGCACTTGAGAGGCAGGCCTTAGGCTGAGACTCATATTCGTCAAGGGTCATAGCTATGATTCAGCAATCTAGGTGACCCTCGACGAATAGAATATACGATGCCACATGGAGAGACTCCTGTAATTGGTGTTCAGTTCGAAAAATTGACCTTTTGGCGGTTTCAATGCCAGTTATCTTGGAGTTCCTGAGGGATGGTCTAGACAAAGGGCTTTCCACAAGCACCATCTGCAGGCAGGTAGCATCACTTGCCACAGTTATTTCCTGTGGCAATGAATCCTTAACACATTACCCTATGATACGCTCCTTCCTAAAAGGAGCTAACAACGTCAGACCATCAACTGTACATAGATACCCCTCGTGGGATCTTCATCAGGTTTATAGGTTCTTGTTTCGCACCCTTTGAACTATTGACACTGGTTTGTTTAAACAGTTATCGATGAAGGTGGCATTTCTTGTTGCTGTAACTTCAGCGAGAAGGATATCTGAACTGGCTACTCTTCAGTGAGGAAGGACCTGTGTACATTCCATAAGGACAGGGTAACCCTTAGGCTAGGCCCCTCCTTCGTGCCTAAGGTCAAGTCCTTGTATCCTAAATCTCAGGAAATAGTTTTGCCGGACTTCTGTCCTAACCCATCTAATGAGATAGAGGTTCAGTGGAACAAATTGGATGTGCGCAGGGCTTATATTGTTATATACAGAGAACCTCATCTTTCCACAGAACAGAGGCTCTGTTTGTGTACTATCACCCTTCATCACTAGGTCAGAAGGTTTCTTCAACCACAATACGCAGGTGGATTAGAGTTTGTATTTCTCTGACATACCAGTCTCAGTCACTGCGAGATCCCAGGCATATCACGGCCCATTCCACCGGGGGGCAGCTACTACAGCTGCCTCGTCTACTCAGGCTTCCGTAGAGGGAATTTGTAGAGCAGCAACATGGGCATCGCCCTCTTCCTTTGTCTGTCACTACAAGAGGGATATATATGCATCTTCTACGGCTTCATTTGGCCGCAGGGTCCTAGAACACGCATTAACATTGGGTGGGAACCAGGCCCAATCTAATTCCCCACCCTAGGGACACAGGGCTTTGGTATGTCCCATCCGTGGGTTCTCCATCCAATCATGCTGGAGAAAGGGGCGTTGTCTTACCTGAACGCCTTTTCTCAGCATGATGATGGAGAATCCACTCCCTCCCATTAGGTCAGTTGGCCTGGTCCCCATTTGTTCAGACGCGTCGGACTAAAGTCTGGGTATCGCCTTAGCCTAAAACTGGGATGCAGTTGGCACAGAGGGGGCGGTACTAAATTTCAGACTTAGTCTAATTGGAGCAGATAGATTAAGACAACCCATCCGTGGATTCTCCATCATCATGCTGAGAAAAGGCGTTCAGGTAAGACAACGCCCCTTTCTCAGAGTGCTCACTTATTAGACCAGCTAGGATCTGCTGTTGTCACAATATATAATCACTGGGATAAATTGTTTTCTTCACCAGTTGAGCTATAAAGTGATTTAAACATTAATATTATATGTATATAATATTAATGTTTTAATTTTGAGAGAGGAACTGCTCGGGCATTTCCCCTGGACCGCATCAACAGGGAGAAGAAGAAGGTGAGAAGTAAGTAGGAAGGTGGAGGTGAAGGAGGAGAGGGGGTGAGTGAAGAAAAAGAGGAAAAGAAGTAAGTTGGTTTGAGGTGGGATGTGGTTTGGGGGGAAATGGGCGGGCAAGACCGAATGTGGTGTGTATCAATTTGTTTTGTTTTTTATCTGAAGTATTTGTAAGATTGTTATGTATTGTAAAATTGAAAATAAAAATTTTTACAAGAAAAAAAATGGAATTATACGCCACCCCCCAAAAAAGTGATTTAAACTTGTCATTTAAATTTAATGGGACTTTTTAATATATATTTCATGCAATATACCATTCCTTGTATTCAGAATGTTTAAGATGGTGTTAGAAATGGACAAAATACTCTTTCCAATTCCTACACTATTTTATAAATCCATTGATCCAAAACCGAAATAAGAAAGAACAGCTGTTCAACTCTAAACACCAAGAGTGACTGAGAAGTGAAAGCTAAATTTGATAAAATGCTTGTTTGTGTTGCCATTGGTGGCTATTAAAGTAAGGATGGAAACAATCTCTTCTTCCTTCTTCTTCTTTAAGATACAAGTCCATCCACTTTTTAGTAAACAATATCTCTCAACCTAATCTACCATACAGAAATGCCATTATGTCGAATTAAAACTGGATGAAGAACTGTGTTCATGCCATCATAAGTTCCTAGAAGAAAGTAGATAAATCTAACTAGGAATGAACACTTAAATTATGTTTCAGTAAAGTTGCTAAACATAAATATATGCTTACTTTTGAATTTAGAAACCTGGTAAGATTCATATAGCCATTGATACTGACGGTCTACTCAATTTGATTTTCGGTTTTCAAAGCTATTATACCATCCATATGCAAATTGAAAATCTAGATTTCCTTTACAGAAGTCATTAAATAAAAAGTTGAGTTGGTAGATGGACAACATCTGGTTATTTTCTTTTAGCTGATCAGAATCATGGTTTCCTGGCTGTATTTTCTCCTACTGGCAGATTCATTGGGAGGTAAGGCAACATAGAAAGAAATATATCTTTTGCAGAACTATAATCATCCAAAAGAACTGAAAACTGAAAGGCACCCCAACAAATCACCCTATATTTTTTAATCTTCAAAAAATTCATTAAAATGATTATTTGCATGCATGTCATCTTTATTGTCTCAATTTTAAAGGAACTCTTCTTTTGGTTCTGAAATATTGTGAGTTGAATTTCTCAAAAAATCCATCAAAAATCTTTGTGTGTCTTCCTTCTCAGATGTTCTGGCAGATGCTTCAGTAACTGAATTAGGCGGAGGAGTTAAAAGACCTGGAGACGCTCTTCGACTCACTTGCACATGCTCTGGATTCAGTATTGATAGTTACTGGATGGAATGGATCCACCAGGAAGATGGAAAAGGGCTGGAGTGGATCTCACGGATAAAGACAGGCAACACATATTATGCCAATTCTTTTAAAGGTCGATTCACAATCTCCAAAGATAGTTCCAGGAACCTGGTTTATCTAGACATGAATGGACTGAAAACTGAAGACACAGCCAAGTATTACTGTGCAAGGGAACACAGTGGAGAAAATAAATCTGAGCTTGTTCTGAAACTTACAGTTTATGTGGTAAAGGGAACGTTTCATTTGGATTCACTTCAATGAAAATAGAATCAAACAGCACAGCTTTAAATATATCATTTTGGATCTGTAACAGATAATTATGTTCTATTGTTTTAGCAAGGACATGATTATAGTGAGAAGGCACTGGGTTTGTATATGAAAAGTGGCTGAAAGAGTAATTTTGTCTCTTAGCCCAACTCACCTAACAAGTTTTTTTGGGAAAAGGGAGCCTTATGTACATTCTCCATCTTGAGCTTTGATCTTTTGCTTTTCTGCTGTTAGAGTTTTCCTTCCTGCTAAGGTGGAAAGAACTTCTTTTCAACCAGGTACTGTATCTGGATCTTTCATTATCAGGTTGGCATTGCCATAGAATAGAATAGAATAGAATAGAATAGAATAGAATAGAATAGAATAGAATAGAATAGAATAGAATAGAATAGAATGGAAATAAGGAATAGAATAGAATTAGATTAGAATAGAATTATAATAGAATTAGAAATAGAATAGAATTAGAATAAAATAGTTAGAATAGAATAAGAATAGAATAGAATTAGAATAGAATAGAATAGAATAGAATAGAATAGGAATTAGAATAGAATAGAATAATAGAATAGAATAGAATAGAATAGAATAGAATAGAATAGAATAGAATAGAACAGAACAGAATAGAATAGAATAGAATAGAATAGAAATAAGAATGGAATGGAATGGAAATAAGGAATAGAATAGAATAGAATAGAATAGAATAGAATAGAATAGAATAGAATAGAATAGAATAGAATAGAATAGAATAGATAGTTGGAAGAGACCCTGGAGATGTTCTAGTCCAGGGGTCCGCAACCCCCAGTCTGTGGACCAGTACCGGGCCGCAGCATGTCAGCAACCAGTCTGCACAAACAAGCAAAGCCCCACCCATGGGATGCAGGCAGCACACAAAACCATGCATCCTCTGATCAGTGGAAAAACTTGTCTCCATGGAACTGGTCCCTGGTGCCACAAAAGGTTGGGGTCCTCTGTTCTAGTCCAATACCCTGCTCAGGCAGGAATACCATCTTAGACATGTGGTTGTCTAGTCTCTTCTTAAAAATCTCCAGTGATGGAGCATCCACAATTACTGAAGGCAAGCTGTTCCACTAGTTGATTGTACTCACTGTCAAGAAGTTTCTCCTTAATTCCAGGTTGCTTCTCTCTTTGATCTGTTTCCAACCATTGTTTCATGTCCTTCCCTCTGGTACTTCAGAGAATAATTTAACCCCCTCTTCTTTGTGGCAGCCCCTCAAATACTGGAATACTGCCATCATGTAATAGTAATAGTAGTAAAGTTGGAAGGGACCTTGGAGGTCATCTAGTCCAACCCCCTGCTCAGGCAGGAAACCCTACACCATTTCGGACAAATGGCTGTCCAATCTCTTCTTAAAAACTTCCAGTGTTGGAGCATTTACTGCTTCTGGAGGCAGGTTGTTCCACTGATTAATTGTTCTCACTGTCAGGAAGTTTCTCCTTAGTTCTAGGAGAACTAGTTCTCCCATATTTCTTCTTTTCTTTAGACTAGCCAAGCCCAAGTCCCACAGCTGTTCTTTGTATATTTTAGTCTCCAGGCCTTTGATCATCATAGTTGCTCTTCTCTGATTTTTTTCCAAACTCTCAACATCCAGTCATAATAATATTCTGTCCCATGGGAACCAAGGTCCTCGGTTACTCCCAAGACTAGAGGCTAGGTGTTGCATAAAAAGCCCGCCAAATAATCATATTGGGGAATGTAGTTGCTTTCATAGTTTTATGGGTATGATTTTTAACTTTGTATTGGGAAATTGTTATTTGTATCACCAGACTTAGTTTCACTCTTGATTGTGCCAATACTTTGTCACTAATAAACATGTTCTTTGAGGAATTTGTAAGCCTCAGAGTTCTGCATTATTCATCCCTATCTGTTGGAAACATGACAACAGCTTTACTTGGAACAGCTTACATCTGGCAACAATACCTTTAACACAATGAAACAACATTTGCTTATTCCCAGGTCTTTGGGAAGGACTTGACAGCTGGACAAATATGCTGAGTCAAGTCTAAATATCTGGGTGTCTATGCAATGAACTGCAATAATAAAACCGGTAGAGCTGAAGGCAATATCCAGATGTTTGGTGTGTTGTTTACTGGCTTTCACTGAATAGTCATACACTATTGCAATTGTATTAGGAGGAAAACAATATTTCTTAAGTACTATCTTATACCACCATATGCAAATGAAAAGACTAGATTTCCTCTCCCAGATATCTATAAATAAAAAATTGACTTGGCAGAGTCACAACATCCTATTATTTTCTTTCTTAGCGCACTACAATCATGTCTTCCTGGCTGTATCTCCTCCTGCTGGCGGCTTTGCTGGGAGGTAAGGCAACATAGAAAGAAGGATTTCCTCTGTACAACTATAGTGATCCAGGCAGTCAACTCTTTAAAGAAACTAAAAACAAAGAGGAAAAAAAAACAAGAATCTAGATATCAAATAAAACAGAGGCTTGCGACAAAAGTCAAAAATAACAAAAAAAGCTTCTTTCAACATGTAAAAAACAAGAAAAAAGTGAAGGAAATGATTGGTCCATTAGTGGGTGGAAGTGGCAAGAAGGTGACAAGCAACAGGGAGAAAGCAGAACTATTTAACTCATTTTTTGCATCTGTCTTTACACAAAGGGAAAAAACAGACCAACCTATCAAAAATAGTGCCACAAAAAACAAAACAGAAACACAAGTTAAGATAGGCAAGAAAATCGTTAGTGAGCACCTGTCCAGCCTAGATGAGTTCAAATCGCCAGGACCAGACGGATTACACCCCAGAGTTCTCAAGGAACTGGCAGATGTGATATCGGAGCCACTGAACTATATTTTTCAAAGATCCTGGAACACAGGGGAACTACCAGAGGACTGGAAAAGAGCTGATGTAGTTCCCATCCTCAAAAAAGGAAAAAAAATGGATCCAGGAAATTACAGACCTATCAGCCTGACCTCAATACCTGGGAAGATCCTGGAAAAGATAATCAAACAACGAATCAACGAACACCTAGAGGCAAACAAAGTCATTACTAAAAGCCAACATGGGTTTGTCAAAAATAGATCATGCCAGACAAATCTTATTGCATTCTTTGACCAAGTGACAAAATTAGTGGATCAGAGGAATGCTGTGGACATAATTTACTTGGACTTCAGTAAGGCATTTGATAAAGTAGATCACAACCTACTACTTGACAAGATAGAAAAATGTGGGGTAGACAGAACCACCACCAGATGGATCCGTAGCTGGCTGACCGGCCGTACTCAGCGAGTGGTCCTCAATGGAACTGCATCTATATGGAGGGAAGTGTGTAGTGGGGTGCCCCAGGGCTCTGTTCTGGGCCCAGTACTCTTCAACATCTTCATCAACGATTTGGATGAAGGGATAGATGGGGAACTCATCAAATTTGCAGACGACACCAAGCTGGCAGGAATAGCCAACACTCCAGAAGACAGGCTTCAGATACAGAAGGATCTGGACAGACTTGAACACTGGGCACTAACTAACAAAATGAAATTCAATGGTGAAAAAAGCAAGGTTCTACATTTAGGCAAGAAAAACCAAATGCACAAGTACAGCATAGGTGGCACCATGCTCAATAGTAGTAACTGTGAGAGGGACCTCGGAGTCCTAGTAGACAATCACTTAAATATGAGCCAGCAGTGTGCTGCAGCTGCCAAAAAGGCCAACACAGTGCTAGGCTGCATTAACAGAGGGATAGAATCAAGATCACATGAAGTATTAATACCACTCTTCAATGCCTTGGTAAGGCCACACTTGGAATACTGCATCCAGTTTTGGTCACCACGATGTAAAAAGATGTTGAGACTCTAGAAAGAGTACAGAGAAGAGCAACAAAGATGATTAGGGGACTGGAGGCTAAAACATATAAGGAACGGTTGCGAGAATTGGGTATGTCTAGTTTAACGAAGAGAAGGACAAGGGGGGACATGATAGCAGTATTCCAATATCTCAGGGGATGCCATAAAGAAGAGGGAATTAAGCTATTTTCCAAAGCACCTGAAGGCAGGACAAGAAGCAACGGGTGGAAACTAATCAAGGAGAGAAGCAACCTAGAACTAAGGAGAAACTTCCTGACAGTGAGAACAATTAATCAGTGGAACAGCCTGCCTCCAGAAGCAGTAAATGCTCCAACACTGGAAGTTTTAAGAAGAGACTGGACAGCCATTTGTCCGAAATGGTGTAGGGTTTCCTGCCCGAGCAGGGGGTTGGACTAGATGACCTCCAAGGTCCCTTCCAACTTTACTACTATTACTATTACATCCAGTTAGGTATATTTCTGAATCACAAACTCAGCTTTTTTCCATTCTGATGTCATGTTGTGCTGAAGGGAATCATAGTTTTCTTTGCTGGGGAGGATGACTGCTAAATAGAGAACTGGAGAACTAGCTAAATTATTGTTGTTGTTGTTAATTGCGAAGTCGTGCCCGACCCATCGCGACCCCATGGACAACATTCCTCCAGGTCTTCCTGTCCTCCACCATCTTCTGGAGTCCATTTAAATTCACACTTACTGCTTCAGTGACTCCATCCAGCCATCTCATTCTCTGTCGTCCCCTTCTTCTATTGCCCTCAGTCTTTCCCAGCATTAGGCTCTTCTCCAGTGAATCCTTCCTTCTCATTAGGTGGCCAAAGTACTTGAGTTTCAACTTCAGGATCTGGCCTTCTAAAGAGCAGTCGGGGTTGATCTCTTCTAGGACCGACCGGTTTGAACGCCTTGCAGTCCAAGGGAATCGCAGGAGTCTTCTCCAGCACCACAGTTCAAAGGCCTCAATTCTTTTGCGCTCAGCCTTTCTTATGGTCCAACTTTCACAGCCATACATTGCAACTGGGAAAATCATGGCCTGGACTATGCGCACTTTTGTTGGCAGGGTGATGTCTCTGCTTTTTAGAATGCTGTCTAGATTTGCCATAGCTTTCCTCCCCAGGAGCAATTATTTCCTCCCCAGGAGCAATTATTAGACTGTATTAAATCTAGATGACAAAAAGAGAGAAAAAAACATTAGAAAATAAAGGATATCAGAATCTGAAAATTTAAACAACTTCTTCTTCTTCTTCTCTTTCTTTCTTTCTTTCTTTCTTTCTTTCTTTCTTTCTTTCTTTCTTTCTTTCTTTCTTTCTTTTCTTTTTCTCCTTCTCCTTTTCTTCTGCACAGGGATCCAATCTGAAATACAGTTTCTTCAGTCTGGTCCACAAATAAAAAGGCCTGGAGAATCAATACGATTGACCTGTAAGGCATCTGGATATAACTTCACTAACTATAGGATGAACTGGATCAAACAGGCACCAGGAAAAGGACTGAACTGGGTGGGTACTATTAGGACAGACAACTTTAATACATTCTATGCTGAAGCTTTGAAAGCTCGAGTCACCATCACCGTGGACACTTCCATCAGCACCACATTTCTGCAATTGACAAACCTGAACACTGATGATACAGCTGTGCATTATTGTGGAAGGCACACAGTGGAGAAAACCACATTCATAGCCATTCATAAATCCTCAGGAGGAAACTGGCTGCTTTGCTGTAATAATATAGCAAGGGACGTGAAAGGCAAGATAAAAATATCTAAATCCTTGGTGTTTGTAGGAATCAGTCATTGCAGGATACAAATATGGCTGACTGCTTTCGCAGTGTTTATTGCAGTGGTTCTCAACCTGTGGGTCAGGTCCACATTTGGGGTCGAACGACCATTTCACGGGAGTCGCCAAACAACGCAGTCCGCCATTTTTTCCCCTTTTCCTTAGCTGTGCTACTCCCTTTTATTCTATTGGCTTTTGAAAGCCAATAGAATAGACTCTCTTGAATAGAGTCTAATTCTATTGGCTTTCAAAAGCCAGTAGGAATTGTCCAGGCTGTCTCTGCCCTGCTGAGCCCGCCAAAAGTCCCATTCTGCAAACGGTGCTGCAAGTTGTCTGCAGCGAAGGCGAGCTGTCTGGAAGCTTCCACCCCTCCCTGCTGAGCAACTACTAAAAATGTAAGTAAAAGAGGGCTGGGGTGGGAGGTGGGAGGCCGGCGGGCATAGGGAGGGTTGCTGGCATGCGTGGGGCCTGGCGGGTGCCTTACCCCCCTTGGGCTGGGCCAGCTGGTGGCCCAGCTGGTGGTCAGCCTGCGCTGTCTCTGTCGCTTGCCAGCTACGCCTCAGATGGCACAGGGGGCGGCACCATGCATGTGCAGCGCTCCTGGGCAGGGAAAGTCCTTGACCTACGACTGGTTGGATAGTCCCCAACTTACGACCGGTTGGGTAGTCCCCGACTTACGACCGGTTGGGGGTTGCAGCATTAAAAAGGTTGAGAACCACTGGTTTATTGCCTTATATACAGGTATTCAAATAGCATAAAGTAAGATGGCATCAGCATAGCAACAGCAGTTCTATTGGTGAAACCCCTTACCAATCCTTAAGAATGTACTAGCCAGGAGGCCCCAGTCAGGGAGCAGTTTCTACCACATCCTGTTGATGTAACCAGGCTGATATCATGTGAACCAGGTGATATTTTGTACCAGCCTGGTACATTGTCATGGTGATGTGAATGGATGAGATCATGTAGCGAGAAGAGTTACGCAGGCATTGGAAGGGCAGTTTGCTGCTCACAACCTCTACCTGGCCCCCATCTCTACAGGTGTGCCATTTATTCACTGTGACTGGGAGCTCGTACATCTTGCAAATGCATTAAGGGGCAAGCATAGGGTTTTAGTTTCTTATGTACTATCCTAAATCATCTATATGCAAATAAAAAGACTAGTTTTCCTCCCCCAGATATTTATAAATAATAAAAAAAATGGCTGGGCAGTCTGACAACATCCTGTTTTTTTTTTTTCCTTAGTTCATTACAATCATGTCTTCCTGGTTGTATCCTCTCCTACTGGTAGCTTGATTGGGAGGTAAGGCAACATAGACAGAAGGATTTATTCTGTACAAGTATAATGATCCAGGCAGTCAAACCTTCAAAGGAACTAAAAACAAAGGAAAAAACAAGAATACATATATCAAATAAAACAAAATATTCAATTAGGTATATTCCTAAACCACAAACTCAGCTTTTGTTCATTCTGATGCCATGTTGTGCTGAAGGACATCATATTTTCCTTTGCTGACTATGAGGACTGCTCAATACAGAACTAGTGAAATAACTAAATTATTAGATCATATTAATTCTAGGTGACAAAAAAGAGAGAAAAACATATTAGAATGTTTAAACAACTCCTCCTCATCCTCATCCTTCTCAACAGGGATCCAATCTGAAATACAATTTATCCAGTCTGGTCCAGAAATAAAAACACCTGGGGAATCAATATGATTGACCTGTAAGGCATCTGAATATACTTTCACTGACTACTCAGCATGTGGTCCTCAATGGAACCGCATCTACATGGAGGGAAGTGTGTAGTGGGTTGCCTCAGGGCTCTGTTCTGGGCCCAGTGCTCTTCAACATCTTCATCAACAATTTGGACGAGGGGATAGATGGGAACTCATCAAATTTGCAGATGACACCAAGCTGGCAGGAATAGCCAACACTCCAGGAGACAGGCTTAAGATACAGGAGGATCTGGACAGACTTGAACACTGGGTGCTATCTAAAAAAATGAAATTCAATGGTGAAAAAAGTAAGGTTTACATTTAGGCAAGAAAAACCAAATGTACAGGTATAGTATAGGGGGTACCTTGCTCAACAGTAATAACTGTGAGAGGGATCTTGGAGTTCTAGTGGACAATCACCTAAATATGAGCCAGCAGTGTGCTGCAGCTGCCAAAAAAGCCAACACAGTGCTGGGCTACATTAACAGAGGGATAGAATCAAGATCACATGAAGTATTAATACCACTTGGCAAGGCCACACTTGGAATACTACATCCAGTTTTGGTCACCTCGATGTAAAAAAGATGTTGAGACTCTAGAAAGAGCAGAGAGAAGAGCAACAAAGATGATCAGGGGACTGGAAGCTAAAACGTATAAGGAACGGTTGCTGGAATTGGGTATGTCTAGTTTAACGAACAGAAGGACAAGGGGGGACATGATAGCAGTGTTCCTCAGGGGCTGCCACAAAGAGGGAGCCCAGCTATTCTCTAAAGCACCTGAAGGCAGGACAAGACGCAATGGATGGAAACTAATCAAGGAGAGAAGCAACCTAGAACTAAGGAGAAACTTCCTGACAGTTAGAATTAACTAGTGGAACAACCTGCCTCCAAAAGTGGTGAATGCTCCAACACTGGAAGTGTTTAAGAAGAGACTGGGCAGCTATTTGTCCAAAATGGTATAGGGTTTCCTGCCTGAGCAGGGGGTCAGACTGGATGACCTCCAAGGTCCCTTCCAACTTTATTATCATTATTACTATAGTTTGAGCTGGATCAAACAGGCAGGAAAAGGACTGAACTGGGTGGGTACTATTAGGGCAGACAACTTTAAGACATTCTATGATGAAGCTTTGAAAGCTCAAGTCACCATCACTGTCGACACTTCCGTCAGCACCACATTTCTGCAACTGACAAACCTGAATACTGAGGACACAACTGTGTATTACTGTGCAAGAGAAAACCACATCCATAACCACTCATAAATCCTCCAGAGAAGACCAGCTGCTTGGTTAACATGAAAAGCGGAACAGTACTGCTGATGTGTAGTTCCATAAAATAATAGAAAAACAGAACCTGAAACGGAATCAAATAATCTAGTTCCATTCCATTCATCTCCTTGCTCAGAGAAAGAACTATTGACTTATCAGTCTTTGGATATTTCAGTTCGGAGAATTCTGATAAAACAGGAAATCATATTTATTAATTTAGCATATAAAGAGAACATGACAAAAGAGAAATAAACATATACATACAATCCACGTAATTATATACAAAATGTCTACAGGTGTATGACTGTGGTCTCATAACTGTGGAGCAAAAGTCACCCACGTCCATAACATCCCTTAAGCTACATGTGCTCCTTGAAAGGTGATAAATGATAGACAGCAATCAAATGCAGTGGTACTGCCCTCCTTGGCCTCATAGCCATGACAAACAGAAGTGTATAAAATCAAACAGCCCTTTGGGGGACTTATCATTTTTTTGTTTTTTGTTGCATATACATGAGAACAAAGTAAAACCTTGGTAACTTTATGACATGTGGACTCCAACTCCCAGAATTCCTCAGTCAGCCATGCTGAGGAACTGGGGGATGGAGTCCAAACGTTATAAAGTTGCCAAGGTTGCAGACCCCTGATCTAATGACTACGCTGCACAGTTGACCAGGGTTCAAGCAAAAACATATTAATTTTTGTGAGCTTTTCTGTTGAGGATTATTTACAGTGCTGGGTAAAACAATGATAGGAAATCATCCATAGGAAAACATGCAGAGAGAATCACCCTTGGTTTTCCAAATGAAAGGAAACTTCTTTAGCAGTATATGTCAAGTTCCGGCTGAAAAGCCCAATGAAGTCACACACCAGAGACATGGTTATCTCTAATGTAAATTTTATTAGGCATAGCATACCGGCACAGTCGAAGAAAAGCTAGCTCTGACAATATGGCAGGAAAAAGGTAGTTAAAAGAGAGTAAAACTCCCACCCCCCCACCCCCGACAGCTCAGGACACATTGCCCAATTATTCCTCAAGCATTTGTTTTGAGAAGAAGTCCTCTGTTCGCCAAAATATCTCTTCGGGGATCTTGGCTCTCACACCTGCAGATCCCAAGCTCTTCCCCCCTCCCCTTGCAACTGTAAGCAAGCTAGAAGCAGTACGGTGGGCCTAATGACAAAATCTTCGCAGCTTGACAGTATGTTTGAAATAGTTCTTGAAAAGCCATTCCTAGAATGAGGCATGCTGAGGATAATGATGCTTACCTTGTCACTGCATGTTTTTTTTTTTTTACTTTACTATAATTCATTCTACATGGGGCTGCCCTTGAAGACTAGCCAGGCACTTCAGCCAGTGAAAAGATTGGCTGCTTCTGTCTGTTTAGATCAGATCTGGTATTATCATGCTGCACCACTCCTTAAGTCTGTTGGTTTTTTTCTCGATGTAGTTCAAATTGATCACCCGTCAATCTCTATATAGCTAAGGACCTATCTATCTTCAAAATCATTTTTCCCAGGTAAAATCTGGTAGCCAAATATGTTTTATAGGGAATTTATATGTCTACCAACTCACTTGTGGTGACTCTGGACAGCTTAAAAAAAATAAACCCCATCATACAAAACGTAAAACCAATACCCTCCTCCATGCCCCTGGCAATAACGAGCAGTTATGCAAACAGAGAAGAACAACTAAGATGACCAGGGACCTGGAGGCTAAAACATATGAAGAACGGTTACAGGAAATGGGCACAGCTAGTCTAGTGAAGAGAAGGACTGGGGAGACATAATAGCAGTCTTTCAATATTTGAGGGACTGTCACAGAGTGGAGGGGGACAACCTATTTTCCAAAGCACCCAAAGGTCAGACAAGGAATAATGGATGGAAACTGATCAAGGAAAGATTTCAAATTTAGTCTGAAATTTTCTGACAGTGAGAACAATCAACCAATGGAAGAGATTGCCTTCAGAAGTTGTGGGAGCTTCATCACTGGAAGCTTTCAAGAGATTGAACAGCCATCTGTCAGAAATGGTGTAGGGTCTCCTGTTTGAGTAGGAGGCTGGACTAGAAGACCTCCAAGGTCCCTTCCAGCTTTATTCTATTCTATTCTATTCTATTCTATTCTATTCTATTCTATTCTATTCTATTCTACTCTGTTCTGATCTGTTCTGTTCATTGTCTCACGATTATAAAATATCTACAAATTTCTATTGGTGACTGTACATGGCTTTGAGTTGGATAAGAATGAAATGGAATTAAGGTAAATAAATATATGGACTAAAGTGACTTTGAGATTGAGGGGGGGATGGACTTTCCTTTATTGGAGGTGTTTCAATAGAAGCCTACCTGTAGATATGCACAAGAATGAAAAGATGGCATCAGCATTTAAGATACCCCAAAAATTAGGTCTACAGAGGAATTCTCAAAAGGTTTATTCTTCACCATAACTGAGTCAGAACGAGGAGTCTCCTTGTAGCGAGATAGGTGGCAAACAAATTTAAAAATACAATAATACAATAAAAAAATAAAGTTAATAAAATTAAATAATATTAAATATAAAATAAAATTAAAATTAAAAAATAAAATATAAAATAATAATAAAAAAAAATATTGATTGCCCATCTTACCACAAAGTAACTCTGGGTAGTTTACAATATTAAAAAGATTACAAAAGCTATAGAAAATATAAGCTAGATAACATACAAAGATAAATATTCAATCCTATCTAAACAAGAGGGAGGGGAGGGAATAGGATGAGCAGGGGAGGAAGTGGGATGTGTTGTTAGTCTGTCATCCACACTGAATGTGAACCCCTCCCCACTGGAACCCCAAGTTAACCAGCATTGTCAGGTTTTTAAGCTCTTGTAGAAGGTTAGGATGGATGGAACTGACCTCTGGGGGGCAAAATGTTCCAAAAGGCAGGAGCAAAAAGAGAGAAGTGTCTTCTCCTGGACCTCGCCAGTAGGAGTACCCTGGCCAATGGGGCCTGTAGCATGTCTTCTCTATCAGTGCAGGTGAGGTGGGCCAACCCCTTTGGGATGAGATGGTCCCACAATAAGCAAGCAAGCAAACAAACAAACAAATATGTTTAGTTGCAAAAGAGCTACAAAAGACATCAAAAAAACGTAGGAGAGAATATGATCTATCCTGGATTAATGCATGTGGAGGGGTACTAGAGAAGGGGATGCTGGAAAAACAATACTTTCTTGTAGTATAAGAGTGCATTGGATCCATGACCCAAGTTTTGATCAACTGGATTTTAAATCTCATTTCTATTCAGTTACCCAGACTGTGATAAAAAAAGATAGTGGAAAGGTGGGTTTTAGACCTCATTGCTTCTATTCATGTCCTGCTGTCTTCCATCTGTTCCTTTTTGTTGTACAGTGAAGCACTGTGTGATAGGGGTCACAGTGATTTCCTCCAGCACAAATACTCCCCAGATGATTATAGAAACACAAAGAGGGCTTCTTATCTTCCCAACAGAATGCAATTATATTTCCTCTGATGCTATCAAAATTTTATGGGCAGCCCCAAGCAAAGTTGTGATGGCAACTGGTTCTCTATACAATGCTTGTATTAACAAATAACTAAGGACTTTTTATTCTAAGTATCTCATCTGCTCTTGTTCTAGGTCACAGAGATTAAGTCCCATAATATTGTTTGTTACATCAAAACCCTCTACTAAACATACTGATGGAAAGAAAAGTCACAACTTAATGAATCATGGAGAACATTCCAAATTTATGGCCATAGAACCAAAATGCAAAGAACAGGCAGATTTCAATTTGATAGACATGGTGGGTACCATAATCTTCAACTAGTCCAAAGACACCTAGCTGGTTTTTCATGCATAAGACTGGACTACAATTCACAGCCTTTGTTCTGGTCATCACATTAACTACTACACCAAACTTTAAGTTTCTAAGTAATGCTAAAACTGTAATCTAGTGTGGATGATGATTGATTGACCGATCAATTGATATTGATGATAATCTATTTCCATACACTTGCAAAAAAATCTTTCTTTCTTTCTTTCTTTCTTTCTTTCTTTCTTTCTTTCTTTCTTTCTTTCTTTCTTTCTTTCTTTCTTTCTGTCTTTCTTCTTTCTTTCTTTCTTTCTTTCTTTTTGTCTTTCTTCTGGACATGGGAGAGAAATACAAAAAAGAAACATTCTTTTGTATTATCTGAATTTGGTTAGTTTTCATCAGCCTTTATGCAAGACTCAGTCCATATTTTGCACTTAAATATTTGCTTGAGGATGTTTAAGCAATTTGTATACAGGTACTCATGACTTCTAATGTTTGACCCCTCCCTTGGACTCAGCCTGTCATCTCTTACACATAGGACACAAATATGAATGCCTTGCAGGGGGATGGGTGGCAAACTAATTTAATGAATAAAAAATAAATAAAGAAAACATGTCTATGGAGATTCTCAGTCTTTGGGAAAACAGAAAAGAAACACTCTTGCACCATCCAAATTCAGTTAGCTTTGATCAGTTTCTCTTCAAGACTCAGTCCATGTTTTACACTTAAATATTTGGTTGAGGATGTTTAAGCAATTTAAAATGATTCTGGACAGGTGATCTCTTTTTATATAGAGACGGACATGCAAATTCAAAGGCAGCCCAACCTTTAAACATCTCCCTCCTTCTTTCTCAAACACTCAGAGACAGAATCAGCAACTCACCTAACACATATTTCTCCTACAAGCCATTTAATAACAATGATTCTATGGTTGAATGTCATCTTGACCCTCTCCATTTTTAAAGGTATGCTTCTTTGGGTTCCATAATATTGTGAGTTGCACTAAGATTTCTCCACGAGCTCTTCAGATATCTTCTCATGTCTTTCTTTTCAGATGTTCTTGCAGATGTTTCATTAACTGAATCAGGAGGAGGGCTGAAAAGACCTGGAGTTTCTCTTCGACTCACTTGCACATGCTCTGGGTTCAATATTGATAGTTACTGGATCCACTGGGTCCGCCAGGCAGATGGA